CGTCGCAGGAGAAGGCCCCGGCCGCCCCGTAGGGAAAGGTGAGCCCCTGCGGAGCCATCCTTCCACTGGCGACCACGGGCTTGGGGCACCGAACCACTGCGGAAAGAGAGGAGGTGAGAGAGGGGGTTTGGCTGCTGCCCTTCCTCACAGACAATGGGGAACCAGGTCAGGTGGGGCAGAGCCACTCTTCCTGACCACATCATAGCCATCAATGTAGGAAAACCAGAGTCTCCTATTTCCATGTGGATCATCCCCAGTCCAGAGCTGTGAAGCCTGCAAAGGGATCTCCCGGCATTACTGCTTGCTTTTATTTCCGTTGTGCTGAGCGCTAATATTGCACCCAGGTCCTGACTGCAGTCTGATCCCACACAGAGAAAGGACTCACCCCTGCACTGGGGGGCAGGTCCACTCCACACCAGGTTCTCCCCGTCATCAGAGGTGCAATAGATGGCATTGTCCCCAATGAGGGACAGACCCTCCATGCAGCTGTACTTGATTACTGAGCCATAGGGGAACTGTTCTGCTCTCAAGCCTGAATGCTGCTCTGTTGTCAAGCTGGCATGGTGCCCATTGGTGATTTTTGGAGGGGGACCACAAACTATGAGAGAATAGAGAAAGGAAAAATTAAGATTTTTCTTCATTCAGTCAGAGAGACAGAGAAGTGCAGGGGAGTATAGCATGAGAAACCAGTTCTTACTGTCTCTACTTAGCTTTTCTGTCCTCGAAGTCCTCCACGCTTCTTGCCAGGTTTGGCCCTGGCTTTGCCAGTGCTTCCAGACTGACCAAGCTGAGCACCACACCAACCCACCGGTACAGCACAGCCCCAGCACTGCAGCACATGGCTCCATCCCCTCCCCTTCTGCCGACCTTCCCTATCTCCTCTTTTCCATGAGGAATGATCTGCTCATAAATGTGCTCAGGGAACTGCAAATATGAACCACTTGGTCAGTCCTCTGAGGAATAGCTGCAAGTCCTGTTACACAGCACACTTAATCAATTATTCATTCAATTGAACACAATCAATCAAAATGAAAACGTTAAAGCCATTTAATATTGTGGCTTGGACCCCTTCTCCTAATACCACCTTCTTCAAGAAACAATGCTCAGGTTATGCGATTTTCTCCCTGCCACTCCTCACACTCACCCTTGTCGCAGTACGGCATGGGGGGTCTCCAGGTCCCGTCAGACCAGCACTGGATCCTCTGGCTGCCCCTCAGCACGTAGCCATGGTCACACTGAAATTCCATGTGGTGCCCAAACGTGTATTCGGCTTTCCTGGGGCTGACCACTCTGCCGTTGGGAATGACAGGGCTGGGGCACTGCACCTCTGAGGAACACCAATGTCAGAGAGAGCTTACATGGTTTGGGTCAGGAGACATTTGCATGGAGGTGTTTTCCCATGGTGAACCCAGAGAACCTGCCAGGCCACCACTAGTACTGACAGTAACCAGACCTAGCATGCTCAGGAACCATAATTATGAGATAGCAACAATTTCCCTTGGAAGGCAGAACGATCTGAGCCCTGTGATTAGCTGTAAATTGCACTGAAGGGATGACATAGAATCACAGAAACACCGAGGTTGGAAAAGCCCTTCAAGATCATCAAGTCCAACCATCAACCCAACCCCACCATGGCCACTAAACCATGTCCCCAAGAGCCACATCCAAGCGCTTCTTGAACACCTCTAGAGATGGGGACTCCACCACTTCCCTGGGCAGCCCCTTCCAGTGCTTGACCACTCTTTCAGTAAAGAACTTTTTTTCCCAATATCCAATCTAGCCCTCCTTGGTACAACTTGAGGCCATTTCCTCTCATCCTATCATTTGTTACTTGGGAGAAGAGACCAACAGCCCTCTTTCACCAACCTCCTTTCAGGGAGTTGCAGAGGGCGATAAGGCATCTCAGCATCCCCTTCTCCAGACTGAACAACCCCAGTTCCCTCAGTCGCTCCCCATCATTTGTGTGCTCCAGGACCCTCCATCAGCTTCATTGCCCTTCTCTGGACACACTCCAGCCTCTCAGCATCTTTCTTGTAGTGAGCGGCCCAAAACAGAACACAGGAGGTGCATCCTCACTAGTGCCCAGCACAGGGGGATGATCAATTGCCTGGTCTAGTTGGCCACACTATAGGTGATCCAAGCCAGGATGCTATTGGCCACCCGGGTGGCATTGCCAGCTTGGTTGTAGATTGGGTTGCTAGCTCACTTGCTGGTTCTCTGCATCACTACACCACTGAAAGCTCAATAATCAGGCTGAGTTGCAACTACTTCTGTTCAGCCACGTTGCCCTTTGAACAGCAAAATTATCATTAGTATAGCCAAGCCACTGGGCAGTAAAGTCCTTATGGCACAGCACTGCTGACAGGTATTTTGAAAACAATGTTATTTCCACATTATTACATTGATGCTTTGTTGGAGAGGCGAAGGAAACGGCGTACTTACTCTGGCAAAGCTTTGGTATTACAGACCACGTGAAATTCTTAAGACAAGTGGTTACTGGAGATACTTCAGGGAGCGAAGTGTACCCAGGTCTGCAGGAGTAGATCACGGTTGTCCCAACTGGAAACTCGTGCTGAGGACCTCGGTCCGCATGGTCGATGACAGGAGGGTAGGGACAGTGACCTGGTGCCAGAGCAAGAGATGACAGAGTCTCTCACAGCTGGGAGGTCTCCCCACAGGGGATGAAGCTGAGCCTTGGAGGACCCCAGGCTCATAAAAGGGACCTGAGCCTACCTAGGACACAGGCGGGCAACCGTGGGTGCCATCTGCCGCCACCCAGGCACCGCAGGGTGGTGGTTGCACCCACGGGGATGTAGCCGGCGTCGCACTGGAGCATGGCTGTGCTGCCGTAGGTGAGGTTCTGTGCGGGTGTCAGCTGTCCGTGCGGGATGCTGGGGACAGGACACTGCATCTCTGTGGGTCACCAAAAAAACCGGGGCTTTTCAGGGGTGTCCTTACTGAAAACAGCTATGGACACCAACTGCCCCTGCACCTCCCTCTGGTCAGTAAGGGATGGATTGATTTAACAAATGCAGCAACTGGAGCAAAGAGATTAGGGGTTAATAAACCTGCCTGAGCAGCCAACAGCAGTAGGACTCCAAAAGCGCAGTGTTTCTGATACACACAATTAAATAAAATTTCTACATTTTCCCCTATAGCTCTAGGAGGTTGCACTCACCTGCATGCTCAGGGTGGGGTGATTCCAGGGTGCTGGGACCCCACCTCTAGCTTTACAACAAACAAGAGCCTCTCCAACAACTACGTAACATCTGTCACACTCATGTATCACTAATGTAAAAAAAAAAAAAACAACAACCTCCTTTTTTGGCCAGCTGCTGTCTCTCATGAGAAATATTTTGGGGCTGGTCACAAACTGTAATAACAGAAAATACTAGAACTGGGACTTTTGTGCATCCCAACAGATGCTGGCATGTCACCAAGACACTGCATCTCTGCTGAAATAATCTCCAGTTCACACCCTGGTACGGTACTGGGCAGCGCTGGCAATGCTGCCTTTGCTACCAATACCCATGGGAAGAACATCGCTGTACTCAAACATGTCTGCCCCAGGCCCCAGCTTAGGTACCCCGCTGGTAATGCTTGGATTTGGAAAATGGACTGAGAAACACTGCGAATTAAAAATAAAAATAAATCGACTGCAAAGGAGGGGTTGGCAGCTGGGGGGCAGCAGGTGCCTCTGCAGGGAGGAACAGGGATGCTGCGCACTGCAGAAGTTTCTGAAAAGGCCTGGTTTTTAAAGGAACTGTCAACTTCCAGGCAGAAACTGCGAGTTATTCCCCTTTCTGGAGACTTTAGTCAGCAAAACCCCACTTCTCCTGTCCTAAAGCCAGCCTGTGAGATGCAAGACAATTCACCAGCTACCTCAGTGTACATCAACCTCGGTATCACCTTGATACCACTCAAATTGCTAACTATGACCCTCTAAATTAAATGGTAAAAATCATTACATGTCTAATTGACTCCCCATCTTACCACCATCCTCATCTTGAGCCCCGGTCCATGAGGACATCCTCTGACCCTGGAAACAACATCTCAGCTACTGCATGGGTGATGGAGGCAAAGGGTGATCCCAGTGACGCCAGTTCTGAGCTCCAGACCAGGAGAAGCTCTGGGGATGGGAGACCCAACCCTGGGCTGTCCCTGGGGACGAGCTCACAGCCTCTGAGCCAGCCATACTTAACAGTGGTACCAGGGGGGATTCATATCCAAAATTAGGTCTTTTGAAAAGCACTGGGAATTTTGGGTGGCTCTTTGCAAGCACCTAGAAGCACAGCTAACAAGGAGAAATGGGCGATTAGCAGCAGCCACAGCTCAGATCATCCTTATGAGGACATCAGGCACAGAAAGCGATCAGCAGCAATTCCAACCAGAGGAAGCTCTCCCACTGAATTTTACTAACCCAATCATTACAGATTGGATCCGTAAGCAAAGAAAAGGAGCAGAGGAGTGACACTCACCAAGACTCATCACTGGCCGCAGCACCAGCACCACCACTGCCAGGACCTGTCCCAGCCAGCGCAGAGATTCCTCCATGGTGCGAGGAGCTGCTGCGGCAAAGACAGAGCTTCTCCCCATCAAGAGCCCGCCGAGGAAGGGGAAGCAGCGGTGGGAAGTTGGGGACAGGGCAGACGAGACACAGCAACGCCAGCACCCCCCAGCCCTCTTGACCTGCTGAGAGCAAGGGCTGCCCACCCTCAGCTCTGCAGCATGGATGCGCTGTGGGAGGGAATGCTGCTCTGCCTTCATCCCTGGCGGGGACAGGGGTAACAAAGCTATTTTACAGCTAGAGCTGCTCTGCAGTGTCCTGGCCTCACTTCTGGAGTGCAGGGAACCACTGATGGGTGCACTGGGCAGTGCCACCCATCCATGATGCCTCTTAATGGTTGGACTCGATGATCTTAAAGGTCTTTTCCAACCCAATTCACTCTAGGGGCAGGCGGGGTGGGGGACAGACTGCTGTGCAAGCACCCCCCACACTGCACTCGGGGAACAGCAGCCCTCCATGCCTAACCAAGCAATGATTTTTGAAGCCGCCCTTTCCTTTACTGTAGATAGGACAGAATTATTAAAAGCCAGACATGACTGTCATTACAAGTGCAGCTTTATTAAAATCTCAGAGTGAAGCAGTGCTAGTCTGATCACAAGATGTTCGCTAACAGAGCGCTTCCCCTTTACTGGACACTGTGGAAACAATTTAGTTGTTTCTTTCTTTACAGCTTTATTTTCAGCAACTGCTCTTGGTGCACGCACGAAGAAGCAGTGAACAGCACTGCTGTGGCCTCAGACACATCTGCCCCACTTGGGAAGAAAACTCGGTATTTTCATTTTGCTAGAAAACCATGCACAGGCCTGTACTGCATCTGGTCAGATTGTACAAAAAATTACTTTCCACTCAGTTTCTTTCTAACTGTGCTCTTGTCAGTACGACAAACATACCTAAATGTAAAGCTTTAAAAATGTATGAAGTGGTGTACAAACCTAACCCTAACAGAATAAGGCACACGAAGTCACTTTCTGACTCCCCATATAACCAAATCTCCTCCTTGACTGATTGGTAATTTTTTTTCTGATTACTGAAGTATTAGCACAAAGCACAAAGGCATAAAAATTCCAGTCAGTGTGATTATTCAACGTGCAAAGAGGATGGTGCTTATGGTACCAGTGATGACGGTCAGCCGTATGCAGTGGGTTTTAGCTCCATTTCAAGTTTCTGGATCTCCAGATACAGTTTCCGGACTTCCAGCAGAGTTTTCAGTTCTGTCAGAGGAATTCCACACTGGAAAACTTCCCTATTTTGAAGAATCTTCTCACACGTATCACGCTTTTTCTTTAAAAGAACCAAAACAAAGAGAGGGCATGAGACCCCACTGCAAGGACCCACCGGCTGAGCATCCCCCTCCCACTGCAGCCCCTGAGTCAGGTCAGCCCTACTGTAACAAAGCAACCACATTCACAGAGTCAGAATAAATAAATAGATAAATAAATGAGGCAAAATACAGAGAAAGCCTGGGCAGACGGTGGTACTTACACAAGTGGGCGGTGGTACCCAAGTGCCGTTGGCTGAGCAGGTAGTTCTTAACTGTACTGACAGACGGCCGTTATGCCGGCAGTGGAACAACAGAGTTTCATTCACCTCGTACCATAATTTTGGAGAGTAAATCATTAGCTCCTCCTGTCCCGAGGGTTTGGGACACTGAACTGCAAGGAAAACGCACACCAAAAAATAACGTAACAGGGGTAGAAAACACCCTGCAAATTCCAGCTGTTGCTGGTGGTTGAAAGGAGCAGCACCTGCTGTGCAGCCCAGTGGTGCAGCAGGGGCCGGCACCCACCTGGCTGGCAGGTCGGCAGCGGGGGGTGCCAGGCGCCGTCGGCCAGGCACCGGCTCTCGGGGGCCCCACGCGCGCCGAAGCCCTCGCGCCG